CTGCACACTGGATTTTTTTGATAATCTATTTATCATTAACTTTATTACATAATCTTTACAGGCTAGCTAAACAGTCAGCTAGTAATAGTTTTTTGGGCTGCACACTGGATTTTTTTGCTAATCTATTGATCTTCAATTGCCACTTCAGCTTTTTGTTGCCACTATAGGTTGCCAATTACAGATATACCATTTAAATCAAGATCTCTGTTTACCAACAACTTCAACAGTTTGCTGTGTTGAACTCTGTCAAAAGATTTTCTCCCAGTCAATAAAACCAGCACACATATCCATGTTCACACCACACCATGTCTCCTTAAGTGTGTTTAGGATGAACAGTGTCTTCAAAATGTCAATTGAATCCAGGTTGCCCCTTCTCTGCAGTTCTTATAACATTTTAAGAAAACCTTAGGAAAACGACTAAGTTTCTGGAGTTGTTTTCGGGCTATATATTAAATGTCAACACCACAAAATTTTATTCAGTTTGAAGATGTGATTTAAAAGATTAACTAATGATGGCCCATAGGGAGGCAATTCAGAAAATAGTCAAAGAAGTAAAATATTTGTGAATTTTCTCCCAGTTCAATGTTTTTAACAGCTAGATTCATTTCAGAGTAGGCTGTAGAAATTCTTTACTTGCCTTAGAATACATTTAATCAATACTCAGATCCATTTATTTGTGTGTCTGTTTTATTTATAGGCTGCCTTTTTCCTACAATAGGACTCAAGGCAACTCAAAATATTAAAAAGAAGTAAAAATATAGTAAGTTAAACATTAAAAGCAAGTAAAAATAAAATATCTTAACTTTAAAAAAGCATTCAGAGACTCAATCATTACCGTTAAAAGTCTGCCTGAAAAGATAGGTCTTCAGATGGGTATTCTATGTTATGGGACTCTATAACATAGTCTAAAATGATACAACCACATCTAATTCTCTGAGTTTCATTAAAGCTTACTTCTAGATAGATGATTATAGAACTGTAGTCTAATGGTAGTTCAATTTTCCTTGTTACTGCATACATTCCTACAAATTACTCCTAATTCTGTTAATCATTTATAAGGCAACTATTTTGCATGTCCATCAATGCATTCTAATACTGTACGAATCTAAAGCCTACACTAACCATTTGTATACAGCCCATGATTATTTCAATTGGGTTAATCTTTTATCCATAAAAACGTGTATAATAGACATTTGTCCACGGCTAGTGGCATAATATGTCCTTAATATATCCACTCTGCTACATAGAGGGCAAAAGAACCATCAATATGGGATTGAAAATGGCATGTCAATTTCTGTCTGACTTTAAAAGTGTCCAACATTACTCTGTCCCCCTAAAGTGCAGTAAATTGGTATTCTTACGTCTATAGATCTTTCTGCAAACACTGTCCTTGAATGTATGAAGTGAATTCTGACTAATGTTATTTGGTCACCTGACTTCTCCATAAATATAATGGCATACAATATTATAAAACAGCCTGTCTTGGGTTCTTTTAAGGACAGAGGTGGGATAAAAATATTTTAAATAAATAAATAATACAAGTATCTATCTATCTATCTATCTAATCTATCTATCTATCTATCTATCTATCTATCTATCTATCTATCTACCTACCTACCTACCTACCTACCTACCTACCTACCTACCTACCTACCTACCTACCTATTCTCAAGGTTTACAACTGCCGCTGTTGTAAAAAGCATTCCATTAAAAATAATATATACTGAGTAGATGTATTAGAAAATGCTTCCAATATTTTAAAAATATTTATAAAAATTCACGGAAGGAAGCTGAACTTAGAAAATTCTTGCCTAAAAACACACACATTTCACAAAATTAAGCACAGTACACAGAACCACTCCTGATAAACTGTTAATCATCAGGACACTGGTGGCCTAGAAATGAAACAAATGAATAAACAACCAGCCATTTTAAAAAGTGGAAACAAAAGAAAATATAACTCCATTACAGATGTCAGAAAAGTGCTATAACAAAATCTATTTACCTTAAAACAGAATTTATATATGACTACATACGAATGTGAGCTTTCATGGACTACAGCCTAAGTAACAAAACTCTTTGTTACTTTCTACACAACAATCAAACCATCTATTAACTAGTAAGTAAGTATGTATGAATGAATATCAAAAAATTTGAAACCATATTTTAGTGGGAGCTTTACTTTTAGCAATGATACCTAAAGCTCAACCCTTAAAATATTTACTCAGAAGTAACTGTCACAGATTTCAATGGAATATATTTCCAAGGGGCAGCCTAAATCCATCTCAACTCTGATGATCCAAAGCCAAAACATCTCCTTTCCCTTTATCTCCTTTCCCTTTTCTCTTGCAACCCTCAGTTCCTACTCATCATCAGTAGGGACTCAATATATTCACAAGTGAAGAATTTAGTAAGTCCAGAGCTTGGATTTTATCCACACTTCATGCATATACAAACATGGGCATGCATGTAGACAAAACAGTTATAAAAGAAAAACTTTGAGATCTGCACACAAACACACACGCCCCTATGTGCATTCACATAGCATATCCCCATCTAACCTTCAGTCATCATGCTTTAAGTTACTTGTGCTAAAGTAAGAGCATGGCTCTGTTAAATCCTAAAAAAACTCCTTTCTATGCAGGCACTAAGTGCAAGTCAATTGTGCCTTGTATATGGCACATATTTGAAGATATGGGGAAAATGTAATGTTTAAAATGAGCAGCATTAATGCAGAGCAAGTATCACTGCCTATTGCAATGGAGGCTGGTTACATTTTTAGATCAAAACTTTGTTCAAAAACAGAAAGGATTTACTTTTGCCCATAGCAGACTACATTCCAGATCAGCGTCACATGACAGTTGTTTAGAATTGAAAGAGCATTTGAAACTCTCTTGAAATGATTTGCAGACTTACACCACCATTTTAGATAACATATTCCATGTATCAACTATCTCTATCTGTAAATTATTAAAATTTAACAATGAACACAATAGCCTACTTTGTGTATTTGTCATTTATTATGTTTCATATAAAATCCTTTTTATCACTGTACTTCTTAAGTAGTCATGAAAAATATATATTGTTCAAATGTTTTCATAATACGTAAATCAAAGCAGGTTTTTTCACAAGTTACCTCATTTAAAGGAAAACTATATATTTAGTGCCTTTATTATTTTTCAAAAGGAGGCAGAGTCCAGTTCCAAATATTAATCCTACAAGATCTTGATTTCGTACTTTGGACACTTCCAGAAAAGACTTAACACCTACCCTGTTTTATAAAGAAAACATAGAGAGAAAGAATTTGGGGAAAGAATGTCCTTTACGTATTCTCGAACAACCAATGTCCTTTACGTTTCACCACTGCTGAAGAGGCCTGCATTTGTTTAATATATTTCCAAAATCTATATAACAAGCAGGATCATTTGCAACAAGATCCTGACCTTGGACATACATCAAATTTTACATTTTTAGTGTAATGCCTACATTTTTTTATTTGGGGAAACTTCACACAAATGCTTCCCTATGCAACAAATCCTTTTTATATAAGAAATTCTTGCATAATTTCAGAACTGTTTTGAAAAAGTAAAAAGACTGATTTTTAAGGGGATGAAGAAAAGTCTAACAAATGTAAACTGTTATAGAATTATAGCTTTAAAAGTCATTTTGCCAAATGTTAGATTAAAAATGAGTTCATTGTTTTTAATGAACTCTGACAACTGACAGACTAATTATGCTAAATGTGGGAAACTGACTAAATAATTATATTTGATACAAATGTATAAATATATCAAAGTTGTATTTCCTTAAGGAAAAAATCTTAAAACTTTGAAGTGGGAAAAAATACCATCCAGAATTTAGTATGCAACGGAATAATGGCTAAACCCAACCTCCCAAAAGGAACCAGAAGATGTTCCACCATAAAGCAATCAAACTGATAATTGAGTTGGGCAGGGCGGGACTCTTCATGGAAATAAAGGCAGAAAAAAACAAAAAAAAATCAAGCTTTCCAATGTCTGAATACAGAAAAAATAAAGTAAAATAAATGCTAGACACACAAGATTTCTTTTTCCCAACACAATTAAATTACAATCTCTATTATTAGCAATGTAATCTTAGTGTATTTTAAAGTTCAGTTCAAATGTGTTGCTACAGTAATCCCCTTGGTATTTCTCTTCAAACAACTCTGAGGAGCATGTAGCAGAGCATGTAAACAACAAAAGGATATTTCTATGATATTTACATGTTATAAACATTAAGACTCATTTCTTACAGCATTACAACACAAAACGATCCAGAAAAAACATTTTCCATTCCTTCTTTCTTCAAGCAGCCCACCATGCCCTCACCCACTTTGAATGCGCTGGAGAGACTTTGGGGATGGTAGAAGGGGAGCATTGTCTGATGTACTTAGTTCTCAAACTCATGAAACATACTCCTTCTGTGAACTTTCCAAAACTACCATGTTTTCTAAACTGTCAACTAGCCCTAATGATACAATCCTATACATGACCAATGGGGCCTATTCTCAGTTAAGTAGTACTGGATTGCAGCACGAATATTTTAATTACGTAAGAATGATTACCCCTAAATATCTTATCTGATGACCATCTTAACTTGCTACCATGAAAGGCAACCCCAAAAAAACCAGACATCAAATATCAAAACAGCAGATACTACGTAATTTATTCATAGCCATTTTCACCAAAATGCTCCATCAAATAACGTGGACACCATGAAACCACCACTGTGGCATAATATACCAAATAATGGCACAACATACGTGAAACCCACAAAATTGATTCACTACTGATTGTTTTGCATTATATGATTCGCCTTTAAATAGCTTTAAGAACAAAAACAGCACCTTGTAAGAATAACATTCCTTCTATGCACTAGCAAATAAGATAATTCAAGGATAAAGAAATGATAATGTATGTATTTAAAATGATAAACAAGCAATTCTTTCCCCAAGAGAGAAGAGGACCTTTAAATCTCACCGGTGTGTACTCAAAGTCAGAAAGTGGGGCTATGCTCTTGATGTAGTCTGCTCGGAATTGGTTTTCTTGGTTGGCCAATGGAACTGGAGGTATTAAAGTGCTCATTGCTGAAACTATAGTCTGGAGAAGGGGAAAAAAACAGAAAAGAACAGAACATATTAAGTTTGATAAAATGCAAAGGACTGTTTGATGGTTTACCTTTATCTAACGAACAGGATTTTCTCTGCATATGTAAACCAATAATTAAACATACACAATTTAAAAATAATTGAAATTATTCTTACCACAATTGCATCTTTTACATTTTTCCGAATATCCAGAATTTTCTGCTTCTTTTCTCTGCATTAGACAAAAAAAAGAGTCACAATCTATCCAGATGCTTAAAGGAAATGTTCACTGATAATTCAACTGCTTTTAAGATGTTGAAACTGAATTTTAAAGAGCTATTTTATCCCTAATGTTCACAAGTCAGTTCTAGATCAAAATATAATGATACTAGTTTAATTAAAATAAATAACCTAACAAACACCAAACAAATATATATAAATGTCTGTAGGGGGCAAAGGGGGCAAGGAGTTTGCTCCCTTGTATTGGAAGCTCACTTTAATTCCATTTGTTCTGACATATCTAATTAGAAACAAGTATCATTATTTCAGTGTTATTGTACTGCTGTCAAATTCCAAGAAAATAACCCTGAGATAAATAATACCGTATAGAAACGCTTTCCAGTATATCACATTCCCATTTAAATGTTCTTAATTATAAAGCTGAACAGGAGCGTTTCAAATATGTGTGATGTGTATATTTTATCAAACACACACAGACAATATTTAGTGTTTGCTGTTGTAAGAAGTCGCCATGTTGTTGCTACACAAGGGCCTATTAAGCACTGCAGTAGCAACAGTGTAAAATACAGTAGAAGGATCAGATTTTTGGGGGGTGTACAAATTTTTGATGCTCCTGATACACATCAACTGCGACTTCCATGCTTTGGGTGGGGTTGTGGGTATAAATTACTGATAAAGTATGAAGAAAGAGTGAGAAAGATCAACTCTCCAATTCTGAGTGATGTGTTCTAAATGCATATTATTTAGCTGTCTCTCTCTGCACCCTCCCACACAAGTAATAATAATTCTTACTCTGAATTAAATCCATTTACATGCAAGATCCTCATTTGCTTGACAATAGTGCTTTTTCCTGACTCACCAGCTCCTGAAAAAGAAAAGAAAAAGAAAAAATGTATGATGTATGCATTTGGAAGAAGGCAAAATGAAGAAGACAGGTTGAACGCATCTCTTCTCTCAAAATACTGTCACATATACCTTGGTCAATCCAGACATTTCACATACTATGTAATAAATACAGTCGGCATCCTTTTCATCTTATATTGTACATAAATAACATAGTTTGTCATCTGCCTGACATGGAAAACTGAACTGCACCACTGCACTCTCATCTCCCTCCCCCACCAAAACGCTGTTTGTCCTTACCCAACAGAAGCAAACGGTGTGTAGCTTTATAAGCCAGTCGCTCTTTCTGCAACTGCTTTTCTATTTTTTTGTTGGCTTCTCGCTGTGCTTTCTCATCAATACGCTGATCTTCCGTTTTGCTGTTGCCCAAACACCCCATTACTGTCCCTTAGGGTGGATGTCAAGATTGCACTATTTATGGATAATTCTATCCAAAGGAATACTCTTAAAAGACGATATTTATATCCCTGTGATGGTATCTCTCCTCTTTCTTCCCCACCAGTTGTTCAAATAAAATGGTTTCTGGTCGTTTTCTGATCACAGTTGCTTTCTTTTCCTCTCTCAAAGAGATGCAATGAGCTTCCGGAAGAGGTAAGTGTTTTTAAACAGAACAAAAAATCTGTACAAAATGCCCAACACACAGTGAAAACAGAGAAGGGCTCCTCCTGGAAATCAGCCTAATGCTGCCTTCCTCTCACCACCTCTCTCGCACACACACAAACACACACATGCACAGAGACACACGCAAGAGAGCACACGCACACACACATACACACTAGCAATCTCTATATTTCTCTGTAAAGGTCTATTTTTGTCTTTCTAACTCAGCACTGCCTCTTTCTGTGAGACCAGGAAGCAGTCAAAGTACAAACGCTGCAGAAACAGGAGGGGGAGGGAGGAGGAAAGAAAGCTGTGCTAACTTCCAATGAGTTTTTACAATACATTCCTAAATAGGTTACTAGAAAGTGAAGCAGAAGAATGAACCAAAGAGGAGTCCAGTTGAGCTACTGATTTTAAAATCTATCAAGGAAAAATCACAATTTTTGTTATTCTTTTCTTTTTCTATGGGCAGCTCTTGGGGATATTTGGGGGCTGCCAAAATGCCACAATGGGATGTATCTAGCCTGGGTTGCAATTTGTCCACCCCTGTTGTATAACAATAATTAGGAGAACAACAGAGGAACGACAGCCTTGATTATTCTGTATCTTTCAATAATACTGTTGTGGAAAATGACATACAGCAATCTTGTAAGATATGGTGCATACAATGCTTTCTCCCCTCATAATCTGCCACCATCCTTGAAATATGGACAATGTTGAGTCAATGGATCCCGGGAAGTTCACAGGCTTTTAACTTCAGAGAAATGCATAGCCAGTTGAAATTTCCATCTACTACTACAAAAGAATTCAGACCATTTTCTCATGTTTGTCTTGCATTAATGTATATAAAGTTAAGCAATCTGACAAATAGAAGACAGATAATTAAAGCAGGCACATAAAGTCCAATTTAAGGCATATTTAGTAAGCTTAAAGGGGAAAAGGTTATGAGAGAGGAAACAAGCAAGGTATCAAAAAAGAGACATTTGCTCTGTGTGTGTGTGTGTGTGTGTGTGTGTCTGAGAGAGAGAGAGAGAGAGAGAGAGAGAGAGAGGTGTATCCATGTGCAGAAATGTGGATAGGAATCTGCATGCCAGCAGCAAATCTCCCCACTTTAGGAATTCCCCTCCCCACCACTGCTCCTGACAATTTGCCTCATGAGTCAAAAATAGTCCCCCATTTCTGCCTTCCATGCTAACAGCCTTGACACACAAAAATGACCATTTGAAGATTAAAAACATGAATGTATCCCAAGATTTATTCTGACAAGTTGGGGTAAAAGAAAGGTAAGAATACCTTCCATCAAGAATTGCCAAAGAACAAAACTCACAGAGGGGAAAAAATTATGTCCAGCCATTACTTCCCACTACAGGAAGGGCAGTAAGGATTGGGGAGATATTCCTTCCCTCCTATTGATAAATACCTTGTCTACAGAACGGTTCAGCTAGTGAATCTGGCAAACATAACAGGACATACATTTTGCAATCAGGGCAGGACTGTGACTTGAGCTGGTCAGACATCATGACTGCAAAGCAGCTGAGATGGTGGAGGCAAAAGGACCAGAAAACAAGCCAGGACAGAGGACAAAACAGCAGCCATGAACAGACAGCAAACCTGGTGGTAGGACTGCAATACAAGACTAGAAAGGAAGATATGCTAGACCTCAGAATGATTTTGTTGTGTCAACAAACCACCTTGAGACAACAAGCCTTCTAATATTCTTCCCTTCCCAGATGGAACTAATGTCTGATCTTAATGCAGGGAATCATTTCAGAGTTGGAAAGGACTTTGCTGAGAAGAGGCAGTTATTCTGAGAAACTCAGCAGTTACTGGAACTTCACTGAGAAGGTGCAATTATATCGCTTACAAGGGATTTCTCTGACCTTTTTATTTCATTCACCAAACCAGTCACCAAATGACTGTTTCACTCACCAAATAAACATTTGCTTCCCTCAGGGCAATGCCATTACAAATGCCAGTTCCAAAACTTGAAAATCAATTCTGAAATGCAATCCTCTTCTGCAACTATTGGTAATTAGAGTGTGACCCTTGACTTGCTATGTGGGACAGTGTCAGGACTTCCTGACAGATGGTTATGGAAGATGGTGAATCTACAGGTATTTGGATACCTAAGGAATACAGATAGGCAGACTCCCAAAGTGTATGGCTTAAACAAAACCACTATTAGAGAATCAAAAATACAGCCATTACTGTATTTGGAATAGATACAGCAAAACTTTTGTCATGTGCACAAAGCAAAAACAACATTTCACCATATTGTTTTTTAATATGATGTTCAGCCACCTCCCCCCTTTTTGCATGTGAATTTATTTTTGTTTTGTCTGTGTGGACTTCAGAGTTTAGTTTTCCCAAAAAATAACGGGTAACTTTCTTTTCTAAGATGCCCCTCGGTCATAGCTTGACCTTTCCTAGGCCAGAAAGTCTTTCAGCTCAGCCTTTCTCCAGGTGAACACAATTTAGGTCTGGCAAGGGAAACTCCAAGAATGGAAACTTCTCGGATTTGGAGTAAAAAAAACATGCATTACCGGTCCATCTCTATTGGAAACTACTACGGTATTTCCACTGATGCTTTAACACTCAAACTTCACTAGCCAATTACACAACCAATGTATTCTGGTAACAAAGTTTCAAAGGGTATGTTCCTTCATTTAAGACACTCAATTAGTACCATCAGGCAAACAGGATCTATTAAATATCAGATAAATTCATGCTTATGTACGCTTAAATGTTCATGCACAGTGTATGTGATATATGTAATATAGAAAACTTTCACTACAGTATCTACCTCTTATGAAAGGACATTAAGGAATCACCAACATCTTTCAGTATATAAATGTAGATATCTGTTTAAACACATTGACAATATATGGTTATACAAAAAGGCCAGCTACAAAAGTTCAAAGACTGTGCTGAAATGCAACATGATTCAATTCTTCATGAAAACTTTGGTTTACAAATGTGGGATACTGTGCTTCTGTATCTACGATTCAAAATTCCAGGAAATGGCCTGATATTGCTGCACAATATCGTGCCTGTGTTGCCAACAGAAAAAATGCCAAACTTTACATAGCAAAAGGTAGTCTGAAGCTGACTTTTTTCATCAGTGAACCACTTCTCATTCAAACCTAAACAATTTGTAAGGGCTGTTTTTCAACAAGTATGGATGGTATAGTACAGTGGTGCCCCGCATGACGATGATAATCTGTTCCATAGAAATCGCTATCTTGTGAAAACATCGTCTTGCGAAAACCGTTTCACCATTGGAATGCATTAAAACCCGTTTAATGCGTTCTAATGGGGAAAAATCGTTGTCGTTTTGCGAACATCGCCCATAGGGAATCCATTTTGCGGAGTGTTGATCAGCTGTTAAAATGGCTGTCCTGCGAAGCATCAGTCCCCCAAACACCTGTTTTGCGAAGCACCAATCAGTACCAAAATCGTCGTCTTGTGAGAAACGGTTTACGGGGCACGAACCCAAACACTGTTCAGCAAAAATCGCCCATTGGAAACACTGTTTTGCGAATTGCTATAGAGATCGCAAAACCTCATCGTCATGTGGATTTTGCGAGGTTGTCATCTAGCAGGACACCACCGTATATCACAGAAGTGAGTACACCCCCTCACATTTCATAAATATTTTAATTATCTTTTCATGTGACAACACTGAGGAAATGACACTTGACTACAATGTAAAGCAGTGAGTAAACAGCTTGTATAACAGTGCAAATATACTGTTCCCTCAAAATACAGTGGACCTTCGACTTACAGACGGCTCCACCTGCAGACTTTTTGACTTACAGACTTCTCCAGCCGCAGAATTTCACTTCGACTTGCGGCCGGAGAATCGACCTACGAACCAGAAGGGGGAGGTGGGGAAAGTGCCAAATTCAAATTTGGTGCTTTCCCCGCCTTCCCCTTCTGGTCTGTAGGCCACCGATCGTGCCTCTGGATGCCTTCCAGGGCTTCTCCGCTGCCATGGCAGGCATCTTGGAGGTTGTCCGCCACCACCGGCTTCAGCAACGGCGAGGGACCCCTTCAGACCAGTAAGGTGCTGCTTTTTGCATTTCTTTTTTTGGTGGGGGTATTTTTTCTATGGCCGGTTACGGATTAATGGGTTATCAATGCATTCCTATGGGAAATGGACCCTCGACCTACGGACTTTTCGACCTGCGGCTACCGTTCCAATACGGATTCATTCCGTAAGTTGGGGGTCCACGGTAAGAGACTTACAGACACCACAGCCAGAAGGGCAGAAAAGGAGTGCTCAATCAAGATAAGCTAGAACTCTCATTAGAATAAAAATGAGTAAATTAAAGTTATACCATGATGTGCATATAATGAAAC